CATGCACACTCCAGTCACAGATCAGCTGTTGCCAAAACCCACCACCAGCGACCTCGTGAGCGTGATCGCGTCGGTCCTATACCGTCAGCAGTTTTGTCAGTTTGTTCTGTTATAGATGAACACATTAAACTTCTTAATATGGTTTAAGAGATTAATCTTGTTCATTTGTGGCGAAGTTACTTTTGTAGAAAGGGTTTTGTCAGCCGAGCAAGCGAGATGTTGAACGTTACACTCAGCTGTAGCTGTAGGCCTAACGTTACATCTGTTCCTCACGAGCTCGCTTTCGGTGCCATTCCTTATTTTATTGGCCATCATATATTTTATATATCATTTTGTTTTACGATTGCAAAGTGCTTGCTGGTAAAAGATTACAGGTAACAGTAAATGCAAACAAATGCATTATGTTGTATGAATCGGTCATATTGTAATCATGAACAAACAGTCTGTAAAAGTGTTGTGTAACTTGCATCTTTGGGCTTAACTGTAATTAGCAAGTAACCAACAATTCCCCGTTTACCTGCCTGTGTAGGCTATGACTGAGCACATCACAGTGAGGATCACCGTCCAGCTTAATATATTTTTTAGGCAACTCCGGTTATTAAAGTGTTATGAGGCTGTTGTATAGGAAATGTCTTTGCTTGTGTGTGTGTTGTTTACAAGTACATTTAAGTTGAATATTTTTTATTTTTTTACAGGCACGCTTGTGAGTCTGAGACTTGATGAAGGGTGAGTTTTGCATTTATGTACTAAATAAAGAATATAAACCATATCTTAATAAGATAAGCCAACATTTCAATGACTTCTGATTTTTCCCCTATATTTCTATCATTAGATCATTAGACAGCGGAGTTCGATCGGTGTCCGGGACATAGGGTGGAAGATGCAGGAGCGAGGAAACGATTCGGCTGCGATTGGAGATGCAGATCCACCGGTCAGTGTGGTTTGGCCTATTAAACGGATAGTTCACCCAAAAATTAAAATTCTGTCATTAATTACTCACTCTCATGTCGTTCCACACCTTTAAGACCTTTGTTCATCTTCAGAACACAAACTAAAATATTTTGATGAAATTCGAGAGCTTTCTGACCCTCTATTGGCAGCAACGCAACTAAAACATTCAAGGTCCAGAGCGGTAGGAAAGACATCATTAAAGTAATCCATGTGACTCCTCTGGTTTAACCTCAATTTTATGAAGCAACACGAGTGCTTTGTTTGTCCAAAAAAATGTTTTTATTTACAATAAAATATTATTCAAAGCTTGTTCATGCTACAATGTTAACTCTAGCGTGAACACAACATACATGCGTCATGATGCTCTTATGAGCGTGTGTGGCAGATCAATATTTTTTAGAAATATTGATATTTCTAGGTAAAATGTGTTTTTTGATAAAAAAATGCTTTATACTACCTAAAGAAATAGTACAAGACAGTTAGTTATATGTCTCTATTTAGTGCTCCTTAGTGTCAAATCGTCACATTGCAGTGGCCAAAAACGTAACTTTTACTTTATGTAGTTGTGCTTAAATTGAAGGGTTTTATTTTGCTTTTCTGTTGACAATTTTTACAGTGTTCTTGTATTTACAGAGACAGTCAGCAAAGTTCACACTGCGAGAGGGGGGTAAACTGGGGCCCCTGGACTGTGTTATACTGGGATGCTGCTACATAGTGCTCCTTAGTGTCAAATCGTCACATTGCAGTGGCCAAAAACGTAACTTTTACTTTATGTAGTTGTGCTTAAATTGAAGGGTTTTATTTTGCTTTTCTGTTGACAATTTTTACAGTGTTCTTGTATTTACAGAGACAGTCAGCAAAGTTCACACTGCGAGAGGGGGGTAAACTGGGGCCCCTGGACTGTGTTATACTGGGATGCTGCTACATCATAAATAAAGGGTGAATAAAATGCCTCCACACTGTCAATTCACAAAGTTTGATATACGTGCATGTTTTAGGCACTTTCTATGTACGTCAAAAATACTTTTTTAAATCCAGCTTAATCTTAATTACGTTTAACGATTAAAAATCGTTCAAAAATGAGGAACGCTTCACGAATTTGCGTGTCATCCTTGCGCTTGCACGAAACCGATCTTCGGGGGATGTGTTGCGATTTGTTTCACCCGCCCCCCGCTCGGATTGGCCGCTGGACAAATTGTTTCACCATGTCCCGCCTCCGCTCCTCTCGTCCCATTGGCCGGCCGAGGAATTGTTTCAGGCCCCGCGCTCGGATTGGCCGCCGGACGAATTGTTTCACGCCCGGTACCCCTTCGCCCCATTGGCTCTCGCGAATTGTTTCAGAGGCGCTCGTTGCTCCGATTGGCCGAGGCCTCGCCGCTGTCGACTCGGACATCATTCACTCTGTCAGAACCCCCTGGAATAACACTATCTTGCTGTTTTTCTCCTACGATTTCGTTAGTTTAAACCAACAAAACACAAACGTTTTTTTAAAAACGCACTTCCGCAATTTAGCAGAATTATTATACACCAATTCTGCATTTTCGCTACACTGCAATTTTGCGGATCACGTAAGTCAACATATTTTACCCTTTCTCACGTTTTATTTGTGTCGTTTTTTTTTAAATAGGCATATAATAAGCATTGTATCCATGTGCAATGCATGCAGAAGAGGCGGGAGAAAAAAATGTGGGGATAAATACTGGGTCGTTCGGAAAGTTGTGATGACGTTTAACCCGCCTAAAATACTATTTCAGTAAAAAAAGTACAGTTTCATTCATGCTTTTCATCGACACCGAAAAATAAATTTACTTTTTCCCCCTTTTAAATGTGTAATGCCTGCAGAATTTTTCTGATGCGTTCGTTTGACCCTTTATTCACTTTATGTCAGTTGTAATAATCAACAACGATGAAAAGAAAACGAAATTCGTTTAAAAACAATTAAAACATTACTAAAAAGAAAAAAAACTACAAAACCCTTGATAATGTACCTTTTTCACAAGTTTTTTGTTTGTGTATGCCATGAATTACCCTTAATAATGTATTATAATGCATTTTCCATAAATATTTATTTTGTGTATGGGGTTTTCAGTGCATTGTTTGGTATAACATCAGGTGCATTTCTTTACTGTCACAGAATGAAAAGCAAGCCCACCCTTCGTTTTGAGGCTGGAGAGCTGGTGCTGAGGGCGTCTAAGCAGGCAGCCACTGTGGAGAAAGTCCACCTTTCACAAGTGGCTGAAGGGGTGCCCTTTGTACCAAAGGACCCTGAGGCTGTGCTGGAGGAGGCCAAGGTCAGGGTAGTCCAAGGTGGAGGGTGTCCCTTTGATGACCTGCTGCTGGCAAGTCAAAGTGCCATCCAGTTTGGTCAGTACAGAGGGAAAACCTTCAAGTGGATGCTGGAGAATGACCTTGGATACTCCCTCATGGTCCTGTCTGGGCATCAGCGGGAGCGCGAGGCTGGCAGATTGGACAGAGGTGCCCTCATGGCTAACAAATATGTCTTTCTCAGATATGCCTGCACATTCGAGAAGGTTGCAGAAGCCATCAATGTGCGCAGGCAGAGAGAGGGAACGTTACCTGGCTGTGAGGGTGACGGTTTGGTGGGCTTTGGGGTCCACAGGAAGAGCACCTTCAAGGAGCTCTATGAGGCCAAGGACAGGGAGAGGAAAAGGTAATATATGCTTCTGCTTGCTTGTTAATTGTATTTCTGTTTTGTATGTATTTTACTCTAATCATTCGTGTATATTATTTTGTTTCTTCTGCAGCTATGTGGAGTTCATTAGAAACAAGAAAACCAGTGCAGGCAGCAAGATGGATGCCCTGAAGAAATACATCTTGCAGAGGGACCAGAAGAAAATTAGGGCTGAAGAGAGAAAAAAGCCATCTTCTGCATCCCAGCCTGTCCCGCCCCCTTCACGTCCGGCTTCTCCCCCTCCCCCCCAAAGCTCCCATTC